TATAATCAAGCCAAGGGGAGGATCTAACTTAGCAGTAGAATTTTTGTTTACCTGTGTGACATGGATTTGACCCCCGGCACTGAAGGAAAAAGGGAAGGGTTCCAACCTGGCATGCAGCCCACAGCTGCAGTCCCAGCTGCTTAGCAGGCTGAGGCAAGAGGATCATTTGAGTCCACCCTGGGCAACTTATGCCCCTTTCTTCAAAAGATAAAAACTAGGTATGGTGGCACACACCAGTAATCCCAGTGCTTAGGAGGCTGAGGCAGAAGGATTGTAGGTTCAAGGGCAGCCTGGGGGACATAGTGAATGCAAGACCAGCCTATGCCACAGTGTGAGACCCTGTCTCGAAGAAAATAAAAACAAAACATGTACAACCAGAGATAATTGTATAGTAGCCCCCAGATTGTCACCTAGATTCAGCAAACACAGCCAGGCGGTTTCATCTGTCTTCTTGTCTGCCTCCCGCCAATTACTTCACAGACATCAGTTTATTTCACCTATAAATATTTATGTATTTATCTCTAAGAGCTCTTTGTAAAATGTAACCATGTGCCATATCTCTCTCAAAAAATGACAGTTTTATTTTATTTTATTTTTTTAAAGGAACATTTAGGGGACCAGGGATACAGCTCAGTGGCATAAGCGCCTGACTGGCAAGCACAAGGTCTTGAGTTCAATTTTTAATACAGCAAAAAATAAATAAAAAAGAATTTATTTTGGCTCCTAGTGAAAAGAAATAAAATTAAACCAGGCATGGTGGTGCACACATGTGATACACCAGCACCCTGGGAGGCTGGGGCAGAAGGGTCAGAAATGCAAACTCAGTCTAGGGAAATTGGGGACTTAAAAGGTTAAAAATAGAAAAGGTCTGGGGAGGTAGCTTAGTGCGAAGGCTCTGAGTTCAATCCCTCCTGCCACACATACATTTCTCATCATCATGAGATATTCAGTGTTTCTTTTTTTTTTTCAATAGTTTTAATTCTCTTTGATATTGCATATATATGAATGATTATCTTTGACCAAATCCAACTAAGATCTATGTGATACATTTGGTTGTCATGGCTCTTAAATCTGTAATCATGGATAGTCCCATCATTTATTTCCATCATTTATTTTGAAAAAAATGTTAAAAAAAAAACCTGTAGTTTTACATAGTCTGATTTTGCTGATGCTTTTTATAGTGTACTTCTTGGTCTTTTTTTTTTTTTTTTTGAGACAGGGCCTATGTAGTCCAGGCTGGCCTTGAACTCACAGGTATCCTCCTGTCTCAGCCTCCCCAGTGCTGGGATTACGGGTGTGCACCACCGTAGCCAGCATTTTTCAATCTTCCTTTCCTATGGATTTTAGTAAATTGATAGATAGATCTAGGTGGAAAGATAGCTGATCAGATGACAATATCTTTTATTTGCTTTCTGTGTGTGTGTGTGTGTGTGTGTGTGTGTGTGTGTGTGTGTGTGTGTATACAGTGCTGAAGTTTGACACAAGAGCTTACTTTAGGTCCGTGCTGACTAAGCTATATGCTCAGCTCTATTTCCACTCTGAACTATGAGGTTTTTAGAAGTTGCATGACTATATTTTGATTTCTTGTTTAATTATATTGTAGTCAGAGAAATTGTACCACTTAGCCTGAGTCCTTTTAAGTTTGTTGTATGAGGAAAAGGGAAGAATCGAAATATATAATGAACATATACCAATTCCCTGCAATGAGTGTAATAATTGTGTGTATGTAAACATATATGTATATGTAAACATGTACTAATAAAACTTTAAAACCCTGTGCCAAAAAAAAAAAATAAAAAAAAAAAAACCCTGTGCCAGCCAGTTAGCTCAGTGGACCAAAGGGCCTGCTTAGGCAGAGGGGGTTTGATCCCCAGCTTGCCGTGCTGGCCCTGCACCTGGGACGAGCTGAGACAGCAACTAGACTGTGAGACTGGGTATAGTGGTGTGCACTTGTAATCCCAGAGTTTGAGAGGCTGAGAACAGGAGGATCACTACTAGTCCAATCTATGTAGTGAGACCCTGTAGACCCTGTACTAAATACATAAAAAAAGGACTTTAAAACCCTAAAAAATAAAGTAAAGTAAATTTAGTGTATAGTCTGATATACATCAATTTCGGTGAATGTTTCTTTGTACTTTTTTTTTTTTTTTTTGGCGGAACCAGGGATTGAACTCAGGTCCTTGCGCTTGCCAGGCAAGTGCTTATTCCACTGAACTATCTCCCTGGCTCCTGTACTGAAAAGCAACGTGTAGCAAAATGTTGCCTCTTGTGTGGTCTATGTGTACTTTAGGTCATACTTGTTAACTTGTGCTGCTCAAATCTTGTTTATTCCTATTGATTTCACTCCTGCTATAATTGTGGATTTGTGTATTATTCCTTAATAGTCTTTCAGTTTACTCCTTGTCATGCTGTCAGTTGTTGTGCTTTGTGTCTTTGGGGTACCCACTCATTTATTCCACAGATTTTATTAAGTGCTTCTCTGCCCAGCCCTGTGTGGTTACTAGGGATATTTCAGTGAACAAGACGGACAGAAGTCGCTGCTTTAAGTAGGGAAACAGACAGTAATAAGATCAAGAATCACAGTTTTACAGTTACCTTCCTCACAAACTGAAACTTTTAACAGAGAGGTGGGGCCCGGAAGATGGCTCAGTGGAATAAGCACTTCCTTGGCAAGCGCAAGGGCTGTTCAATCCCCGGTTTCGCCAAAAAAAAAAAAAAAAAAAAAAACCAGAGAGGTGATGTTCTCTCATAGTTTTTTAGCCTCTTGTGTGATATCAGAATAGTGAATAGCTTTCCTTGAGTTACTGTTTGTTATAAGTTTCATCCCCTTCCTCTGCCTTTCTTGTGTCCTCTGGGCCTGTTTCCCTCCTTCCCACCTGGCCACATTGTGCTATTCTTACATTTTGCCTTGTTTTTCTTTTTCTTGTGTTTTAAATGTGTTCCCCAAACAGCATATTGGTTTGTTGTTGTTGTTATTGTTGTTGTTTTGCCAGCTCAGCCCGCCCTAAAGGCGGGGCTGGCGCAGCATGTGGTCTCCTGCGCCTGCCTAAGCTTGCCTAAGCAGGTGCTGTACACCCCTGAGCTGTCTCACCAGCCCCCCAAACAGCATATTGTAATTATTTTTTAAATTTTAACTAGTTTGACAGTGTCCTTAAGTGAAGTGTTACTCTATAGCTTTTAACATTTATACATTTTTGTGTGTGAACATATGTTTTCATTTCTTTTCGTACACTATATGCCAAAAGCTAGAACTGGCTAATCATACGGTAGTTCTTTGCTTAAGTTTTTGAGGAAAGGCTGGATTTTTTCCAAACCAATAGCACATTTTAAAATCCTGCTAGTGGTTCATGAGCGTTTCAAGGCCACGAAGATTTACACTTATGTTTTCTATATTTTTTATTTTGTGGTATTGGAAACAGGAATTCATGACCTCATGCTGGCTGGCCAGGTGTCACACACTTACGTTTTCATCTTTCTTTTACATTGAGATCTTTCCCATTAGAGTTAATTTTGTATGCGATATAATAAGGTAGAGATCTACTTACCTTCTCTTTTTTGGTGGGGGGAGATAAAGTTTTGCTATGTAGTCCAGTAAGGCTGATCCCAAAGTCACTGTGTAGTCCAGGTTGTGGCAGTCCTCCTGCCTCCACCTCCAGAGAGCTGGAATTATACCACTTTTGTTCTTTTTTTTTTTTTTTGTCATTTTGATACAGGCTCTCACTGTACAATTCAGGCTGGCCTTGAACTCACTTCGTCGCCATGACTGGCCTCAAATTACAGTGATCCACTGTCTCAGCCTCCCAAGTGCAGGGATTACAAGCATGTGCCACCACACCTGGCCTCCGCCTTCGTTCTTTTACATGCAGATATCCAGTTAAGCCAGGAACATTTGCATATAGACATGGTAATGTATATTTGTAATCCTAGCACTTAGGAGGCTGAGGCAGGAAGACACCAAGAGTTCAAGGTCAGCCTGAACTACATATTGAGATGCTGTGTTAATAACAAGGGGCCAGAAAAATAAATAAATAAAAAACAAGGGGTCAGGAAGATAGCTCAGCAGGTGTAAGTTCATGCCTGGCAAGCACAAGGTCCTGAGTTTGATCTCTGGTACCAAAAAAAAAAAAAAAAAATCCACTAAAATAAATTGTGTTATTTGTTATAAATCCTTAGAAACATTTCCAATGACTAGATGTTTTGTTTTTTAAATTTTCATGAATTATAGCATTTCACTAGAAGTGGGTCAGTGATTCCTCTTGCTGCCATTCCAGAAGTAGAACGTCTCTTTTTTTCTTTTTTTGTTGCAGTGCAGAGGATCAAACCCAGGGTACTGCTCATGCTAGGCAAGTACTCTACCACTGAGCTGCATGCCTGGCCCTTTCTTTTAGTAGTTACTTGGGAAATCATGATGGTGCATTATCTAAAGCCAACACTAATCAATATCTTTACTCTTATTCTGGATGACAGAAGGACCATAGAATTATGTGGAATTGTTTTTTACCATATGGATATATTTTTAAATATGTGTATGTATACATATAAATGTAAGTATATATTGCCATGTATATATAAAGAAAAAAATGAAACAAAAATTTGCTGATTACCTCCTGTTCAGTTGCTTGGGTTCAGTTCCCATTTTCACCACTGGCCAACCTGAACAAACACCTTCACATCATCAAACCTGTTTCTTGAGCCATGAAGTTGAGACACTGATGCCTCCCTTACTAGGTCTGTATAACAGTTAAATGAGCTAATCTATGTAGAGTGCCATGTTCTCAGTACACACAGTGCCTGACACATAGTCCTTAATAAAAGGTAGCTGTTCCAAGAGCGAAAGCCTAGTATGGGCGGTAATTGCATCATATCCTCCTTTGCTGTCCTGCAGTTCCTCTGTGATGAGAGCGCGGGGATTTCTGGAGACTACATTGACCGTGTGGATGAGCCCTTGTCCTGCTCCTACGTGCTGACCATCCGCACGCCCCGGCTGTGCTCCCACCCACTCCTCCGGCCCTCGCCCAGTGCCGCACCACAGGCCATTCTCTGTCACCCCTCCCTGCAGCCTGAGGAGTACAAGGCCTATCTTCAGCAGCAAGAGAGTGAGTGAGGACAAGAGCAAGGGGATGGGGTGAGGCAGGCTGTAGGTCTGTGCCCCCGTCCTACTCTTACCCTGTTTTTCAACAGACTCAAAACAACATGAAGACTCAAAACAACATGAAGAGAAAATCACAGAGGAGCTGCAAGACCTGGACTCCCAAATGTGGAGTGAGACCAGGCCTGGGGTATTGCCCCCAAAGAGAGAAGGTAGGACCTGTTTTCACCCATTGCATAGAACTGGCCTGACTTCTTCCATTCCTCAAATCTCACTGACCTGGACCGACTGGTCGGGCTGGACTGAAAGGTTACCATGGGCCCTAACCCCTTGGTAACAGAGGTGGACATGTACTCCATCCCGTGGGCTCCCTTCCTTTCTCCCCTCCTTTCATATTCCCTCCTGTCCTGTGGGTGTCAGGTGTAAGCCCAGCCAAGGAGGACAGTAAAGAATCAGATTTCTGGAAGATGCTTCATGAGCCAGAGGACCAGGCCCCAGCAGGGGAGGAGCCAGAGGCTGAGGTGAGAGCCCGTTCCACGGCGGCCACTTTGCTACTGAGGTTAGGGGCTTTGGGGTTGGTGGGTCCCTCACATGGAGGTCATGACGAGGTAACCGGCGAGAGATGCATAGCTCTCCCCAGAGCAACAGCTTGAAGAGTGTGGCGGGCATACAGGCTTTTGTACTCAAGCCTGTTCTTTCTCCTCGGCAGGAACAGTACCTAAACCTTGAGGCTGCAGCAGATCCAGCTCCAGGCCCTCCAGATGGTGAGTCGATCCTTCCTGTCTCCTTCACTGCAGAAATGTATTTTAGGGCTGGCAGCTGTGGGGGTGGCTGGTAGAGCTAAACACCAGAGGGAGGTTAGGCAGTCAGGCCATCAGGAAATTCCTTCTCTTCTTGTTGGACTGGGGGTTGAACGCGGGGCCTGTGCGTGGTGAGCAGGTACTCCACCACTGAGCTATGTAGCCCCAGGGAAATGATTTTTACCTGAGTTGGTCGTCTTTGTCACAGCAACACTATTTGAGGGAAGTGGTGGGGCGCCCCCGCTCCACCACTACTGACTTCAGACTCCTGGGCAACTTCACTTACCCATTAAATGGGAGTAATAAAGTCAGGCGTGGTGGCCCATGCCTGTAATCACAGTGCTCAGCAGGCTGAGGCAGGAGGATGGCTGAGAGCTCAAGGTCAGCCTGGGCTACCAACAAATGCAAGGCCAGCCTGAACTATGTCTCTAAAACAAACAGTAATAAACCCCTAAGGGATTGTGAGATTAAATGAAAATGTACCTATAATTTATAACAGAATGCTGGTAACTTAGTGCTAGACAGCAAATGCTTAGAATATATGAGAGGGGTAGAACAGGTTCCAGGGACGATAAGACCTTAGCCCGAGAATCTTTCATAGTCCTAAACGTTGGAGTTTTGCTTTTTTTTTTTTTGGCAGAACCAGGGATTGAACTCAGGCCCTTGCACTTGCCAGGCAAGTGTGTATTCTACTGAGCCATTTCCCCAGGCCTGGACTTTTTTTTTGGAACCGGGGATTGAACTCAGGCCCTCGTGCTTGCCAGGGAAGCACTTATTCCACTGAGCCATCTCCCCGGCCCCTGGACTTTTGTTTTTTGCAAAATGTACCTTAGAAAGGCACAGAAGAGTGGACACTTAGCTCTTATTAGCACCTCCTCCCCCAGTGAGCCAATCACCATGGACAGGGCTGTCTGGCTGGAGTGTCTACTCCATCTCACTTACCAGGCAGCTAGCTGCTGAAGGCAGAGACCATGTCCCTCCTTGGTCTGTCTGTGGCCTCTTAGGAATCAAAAGAGAATTTAAAGCACAACAGGTCTATGCCTATTCTCTCATCTCAGATTTTCAGAACAACGTACAGGTCAAAGTCATTCGGAGTCCTTCAGACTTGATTCGATTGATAGAGGAGCTGAAAGGCGGGACAAAAAAGGTATAGCCCCTCCAAGCCGGCTCTGTTCTGCACTATTCCTGAGTCCCTTGCCTCCACACCCTGCCCATGTTTGTGCTCCACGGTGTGGTTAGGAAACCCCAGACCTGCCTGTCTTCTTCTCCCCAACCCCTGCCAGGGGAAGCCGATCACAGGCCAGGAGCAGGCTGGAGAGGAGGCTGTAGAGGCCTCTCCCCCGGAGCCAGAGGTGAAGGCCAAGGGTGACACTGAGCGTCAGAGTGCAGTGGAAGAGGAGGACAGTGATGAGGAGGCAGAGGAAGACGCGGATGAACGGCAATTACTGGGAGAATTCGAGAAGGAGCTGGAAGGGATGCTGCTTCCATCAGACCGCGAGCGCCTCCGTGCTGAGGTGAAGGCTGGCATGGAGCGGGAGCTGGAGAACATCGTCCAGGAGGTGAGTGTGGCGCTGCCTGCTCCTGGGGATAGGGTCAGGGCAACAGCAGCACCTGCCCAGCTCAGGACCCGAGCATGGTGATGGTTTACTTCATTTGAAAAGGGCAGTGAGGAAAGGAGGTTGGAGATAGGGCTGAGACCCAGACATGGACTGTCCTATGGGGTGTAACTCATGGGCCTCAACTGCCCTCCCCTTGACTCCACCCCGACTCGGGCATTCCAGACAGAGAAGGAGCTGAACTCTGATGTGCTGAAGAAAGAATCAGAACGTGAGCGGGCAATACTGGCTCTGACCTCCACTGTCAACAAACTCATGAAAAAACTGGAGGAAAAACAGAGTCCTGAGCTGGTGAAGAAGTATAAGAAAAGGAAGGTTGTCCCTAGAAAGCCTCTCCCATCACCCCACTCTACAGGTGAGGACAGGGGGACAAGAAGGAGTAGTCAGGTCGGTTTCTCTGTCCCTCTGCTGGTACTCTTCCCAGAGGGCACTACATCTTCTCTCCTCCCAGAGTGCACTTCTCTTCCCGCCTCCTAAAGGAGCTTCTTTCCACCACTGACCTTCCTGTGTTGGTCACTCCTGGTTGTCCTTTGGCAAAGCTGCTTTTCGAGTGTATCTGTTGTGATGGTTGGTTTTTCCTGTGCCCCAGTGCTTAGCACTTGCCTGGCATGTAGATATGGACTGAATGGTGATGAGCCTAAGCACTGGTGCTCACCCATCTGGGACACATGCAGCCATCAGCAGCTGGGACTCTGCCCTGGGAAAGGACCCAGCTGTCAGGTAGCCAGCCACACTGGAGCCACCAGCCTGCACACACTCGAAGTCACTCTTCTTCTTGCATGCCTTTGTGTCCATTCCACAGGTGGCTGTAGATGTGGAGACCAGATATTTCAAACAGAACATTGAAAGGTCTCTATAAAGTCACAGCATATGGAGGACCAAACCAGTTTTCCAAGTTACACCATAAAGCTTCTTTGCTGGTGCAGGTAGTCTAGTTCTTGCTCTCAGAAAAGTCACTTCCTTCTGATGAGGAGACTTACTGAGTGGGCTACAGTAAAAGGCTAAAGTTAGTGGCAGAGGTGCTTTTTTTTTTCTTGAGCCCCAGTTCACATATGTGCTGAGATGGAATAGCCATGCAGAGCAAAAGCACGCTGATGGCTTGGGAGAGGTGACCACCACCGCCCTTAACTCTGGAGTCATGGCTCTGCTTTGTCTCCCTGTGTCTCCCCCTCTAAGAGGAGGATCCTGAGCACAGAGTCCGGGTCCGGGTCACCAAGCTCCGTCATGCAGGCCCCAATCAGGATCTGACTGTCCTCGAGATGAAACGGGAAAACCCACAGCTGAAACAAATCGAGGGGCTGGTGAAAGAACTGCTGGAGAGGGAGGGACTCACGGCCGAAGGTGGGCCCTGGAGGGCGCTGGCTAAGAGCTGTTGGAAGGGCTTGCCACTGATGTGGAGGGCTGGGTCACGGTGGACTGGAAATCTCAGCTGGGGCCCCAGGGGGGCAGGGGGCCCACTCACGACTCCCAGGCTCCCTTCCTCACTGTCCACACTGCTGCTTTCTAGGGAAGATTGAAATCAAAATCATCCGACCTGGGGCTGAGGGTGCCGAGGAGGATGGACGTTGGCTGACCGATGAGGACACAAAAAGCCTCAAGGAGATTTTCTTCAATATCTTGGTGAGGTACCCTACCTCAGACCCTGACCCTCCATCCTTCCTAGGCCAGGCCTGCTGTGTCCCAGAGTCACAGGGTCTCTGCCAAGCTTTGCTGCATACTGAGCTTCAGTGTCCTGTCCCAGGGAGGTCCCGTACTCTGGCAGCTCCTGGGAGGCTGGATCATTCCGCCTAGCCTCCCTGACTGCCAGTCTCAGAGCTCCCTGGTCTGGAAGCACCTGGCACTTCCCTTACTCTCCATCAGCAACTCTGGCTGCCCTTCCTTCCAGGTGCAGGGAGCTGAAGAGGCCCACAAAGAGCGACAGCGGCAGAAAGACCTGGAGAGCAATTACCGCCGAGTGTGGGGCTCCAGAGATGGTGAGGGCGCGGGAGACCTGGACGAGTTTGACTTTTGAGACACCACAGCAACGTGTTCTGACTAGCCTTGCTTCCTCACCTCTCTCCTGGTCCTTAAAGGGAAAACATCAGAGAACAGCAGAGTTGTGGGCACCTCCAGGGAGTAGAAGGCCCTGGGGCCAGTGCTGCAAAACCCGATAAGAGCCACCCAAGGCCTCCCCTGGGCTGTGGCTTCTGCTCTCTCAGGCTGTCCCATGTGCCCTTCATTTTCTCCTCGGCTTTCCTTGTTGGTGTCCCCTGACATGTTGGCTCTTTCTTCTTCCTACCTAGAGACTCGTTAAGACCCTGTGTGTGAGCAGGGTAAGGAAAGTGGGGTAGTAAAGTAGGCCCAAAGAAGCAGAGTGCCCGCCCTGCCCTGTCGCTGTCTGGAGTTGCTTTACCCTCTTTGGAATCAGCTTGGGATGTCCTCCCGTCCCATCCCCACTGTGCTCCTGAGCTGAGGAGTCCTCACCTCTGCTGCTGAGGAACTGGGAGACCTTTGCATAGCTCTTCCAATGCAGTCCCAGCTCAAAGGGGGTGCAGAAGCATCCGCCGTGTTCTTCAACAATCAGGTTTCTAAATAAAGAACTGGACCACCAATCCATCCGCCTTCTTGGGGAGGGGGCAGGTGGACGGCTCTCATGGGAGGTTTGTGCATGGCTCCACACTGCCCAGTGGGGTGATGGGACACCGGCCTGCTGAACAGAGCCACCTGGCTCAGCAAGACTTAGCAGTTCGTGGCAAGGGCATTGCTGTCACTCCTTTTCCTCATTTATAGTATTTCTCTTTATTTTTGTTCAAGCCACGGCCAGGGAAGAGCTCTTCCCACTGAGCTGCACCCCTAATCCAGTTCCCTGCCTGTGCTCTACCTCTTTACCCTAAAAGGCAGAATGCACATCAGAGGTGCCCCCACAAGCTATCCCAGTGTCCTGCTGAACTCTCCCTGCTGATTCAGCTTGCCAGCCACACCCCCTCGCCCCCCTACACTGCTTGTCAGCTCTGCTACCCCTGTACTCCATTCCCCAGAACCAGCCACACTCTACTGTGCTGTGCCCAGCGAGGCCTATGCCTACATGTGCCAGTTTCTTGGGCCGACTCCCCCATAGCTTTCCTTCCATCTCCCATTGTAGAGGACACGACCTCTGGCTCCCCAACTAGGAGGTGTATAGCCTTCCTGCTGAAGACTCCACTGCCTGAGACAGGGAAGTCAGGACAGGGAAGAGGCCTGAGAACACACAGTGCCTTGTCTCCAAATGTGGAAAGCAAGGAATTCAGTTATGAGAGTTGCATAAGACCTTGTTGAATGTAGATGAAGTTTAGATTATTTGTTAATATTTATTTATTTTGCGGTACTGGGGGTTGAGCTCAGGACCCTGTGCCTGCCAAGCAGGCCCTTATTCTACTGAGCTATCTCCCTGGCCCCTGTTCATATTTATTTTATGGTACTGGAGATTGAACTCAGAGCCTTTGCACTGAGCTACACCCCGTGTTTTTTTGTTGTTTAATTTTAAGACGGGATCTTGGACCGGGGAGATGGCTTAGTAGAATAAGTGCTTGTCTGACAAGCACAAGCGCTTGAGTTCAATCCCCGATTCCGAGAAAAAGAAAAAAGGATCTTACTAAGTTGATAAATTGCCACAACTAAGTTTAAACTTAAGACCCTCCTGCTTCAGCCTCATGAGAGCTGGGATTACAGGCCTGCACCACAACACCCAACTATGTAACCTTTCGAATGCTATTTCTTCATCAGTGCCTAACAGCACCAGCCTCATAGGACAGTGGAGGGGACCGAGAGTGTGTAGTGCTCATCACAGAGGACCTGGCCCACAGTAAGTATGCACTGACTCCTAAACCAGCTGGTGAATCTTGGAGAGATGAGCACCAGGAAGCAAGAGCTCATCAGAAACCACCAAAGTATTTGAAACAGGAAGTGGGGGAACCTGGGGCAGGTTTCTCTTCTGTTTGACAGGGACAGAGTCTCAGCATGGCCAGAGAACCAAATTCTGGAAACCTCACTGTATTTAATCATTCTGTACTTTTGATAATAAATTCCTTTTTACTTTCCTTTGGCTTTTGGCAAAATGCCCATGTAGGTCACTCTGCCCTAGCTGTGCTAAGGCAAACAAAAGGGAAAGAAGGGTGTGTGGCAGATGGCAGCCAGGAGGGGGTAGTGCCAGGGCCAGGGGATGGCAACAGGAGCCTAAGCAAGGAAACCAAAGGCAGGCTGGGGGGCCTTCGCCCCCTTCTAGGGTCCCGATGTAGCTGAAGGCCTGATGTTCTGTCACCCCTCCCACTTACGAGACCAACGATGCAGCCCACTTTGCAAAAGGAGCTAGCAGATTACTTAGTGATGGAATTTGCTGCAGGTTTTGCTTGCCTTTTTTTTTTTTTTCTTACTGGCTAGGGATTAAAGGACCTTCCCACACATCCCTTCATAGGCAATTTCATTCACACCAGTGTCTGTTTCCTTCCCACACTGGCTTTTGTCACAAGGAAGGAGTGTGGAGAACAAGTGAGGGAATCCAGGGTCTGAGCGGAAGGTCTTCCTTGGTGACCCCCTTCCTCTCTGCCAGGTCACATACCCGAGTCTACCTCGCCCTATATAATGCTACTGTGCTGCAACGTCCTTTTTGTCAGCTAACTGGCACACCTGCAGTTTAATCTTGGCGCTGGAGAACACCAGTGGTTGGAAACATTTCTACCCAAGGTGGATGACAATATTTGGTAGTCATGCCCAATCTCTGCTAGTTATTTGCCTAATACCACATAAGTGTCTCAGGGAGACACTTGCACCTGCACATGAGAAACAGGCTATGTCCCCAAGCTCAGCCACTATGAGCAGGGTGGTGACAGAGATGGTCAGCACAGAGCTTGTGACCATACAGTCTCCTGGGCAGCCTCTGGTGTGCGATAGTCCATCCCTACCCTCCCTGGAATCCAACCATGGCCAGAAAAAGGAATTCTGTTATCTCTTCTGGTACCTGGTGCTCAAGGGTAATAAACTACCCTAGAGAAGCCCTTCCTTGGACTGTCACACCTACCAGATAGCCTCAGAGCAGATAGTGTGAGTAAACAGATGCCACTGAGGGCAAGTGCCCAAGGCCCCTAGCTAGGGAGCAGAGGGCCAGGCTCAAGGTTCTATGTTTCTGTTCTTAACCCAAGTGACCGCATCTTCTCACTCTGGCCACACAGGCCTGTCCACTCCTCTAAACATACACCAACTCTTGCCTAGAACTGGAGTCATCTTGCAAGTACGGCTTTTCTGATCCCACAGACCTCACGTGCTCCCACCAGTCCACCTATGTCCATCATATGAACCCTTGTACAAGGTGGGACTTCCATGCCCTCGAGTACTGCTCCACCACTGGCCCATTCCCCGCTCCAGTTCCCCACCTAGACCAAGGTCATACCCTGACCTGCCTCTTCAAGAACAGACCAGCAGCTCGCCTCCTAGACAAAAATCACTTCCTCTTTAATTGCTGTTGAAGATTCACACCACCTGCCTCTGAGGAAATGAGGGGGGCATCCCCTCTGCCCCCACCCTACTTCCCTCCCAATTACCTGGTCTTTTGCAAAATACTTTAGCCAGAAAAAAAAAAAAAAAAAGACCAGAAACCACTGACACAAACGGTCCAAGGGCTGGGTTGCTTGAGGGAGGCACAGCTGGACCAGGTCAGTCCACCCCAGCACCCTCTTTGGGAGCACAGGGGACCTGGAAAACACAGCCACTGCACACCCTCTCAGCCCTGGCTAGGAGGGAGCATGAGGTTGCAGGAAGGGTCTGGAGCTGCTCCAGAGGGAGGGAGGGGCTGGACAGAAAGAAATAATGGGGGTGGGGTCCCGTTGTAGGAGCCCCCTTACCCCAGATCACCACGGGCGCTGCACAGTCACAGGTACGCAGTCACAGGCACAGACACAACCCGAGAGCACCCCCGCCCGCCCCACCCCTGCCCACCCTTGGCTTCCCCATCCCAAAACACCCCCCCACACCCCTGCCCACCCCAACCCCGTGTCGGGGAACAAAGCAATAAATTACAAGGCCCTTTCCCAACCCCTTTAGCCTGCTTCTGCTCCATCCATTCTCCCTCCCAAGATTGTAGAAGAGGGACACAGGCTCTTGGCTCCCCATGGTCCTTTAGCTTCCATCCATGGGTAGGTGTAGGGGAACATCCTGATTTCCACTACTCTTGGTCCCTTTCACGGAAAGGGTTAGGGACGCCCCCACCTCCATGGGCAGCAGGGGTCCTGCCCCTCGCTGTGCACCCCTTCACAGGGCAGTGAGATCAGCATGGAAGGTGTGGGAGTCCCCTATTGGCCCCAAGTCCCAGGGCTAGCCCTCCACGTACCAACCCCTCCCTCTGGCGTGGCGTCGCCCCAGGAGCCAGCCTGGGTTTGGAATCCCGCCGTAGGCTGTCGAGTGTAGGGCAGGACTAGGTCTCTCCAGCCTGTAGGGGCGCGCGCGAGTGGGCGAGTTCAGGCGCCCAGGACCGCGGTGGGGGCTTCCCTTCTATAAACACCCGGCACGCACACCCAGAGCGATCCGAGTGTGCAAACAGTGGAGGGGGGCGTGTCGAGCTGGGGTCTCCATGCCTCGTTGGGGAGGAGGTGAGTTTGTGTCTTCGGGGAGGCGTGGGGGGCTGTGCTCGCGTGGGGGTAGGAAGTGCTCCCGTGGGGTGGAGTGCGCGTCGGAGAGGTGAGTGGGTGCATCTGTCCGGCGGTCCGCCTGGTGGGGTCGTGCCCGGGCCGCACAGGGGTGGGGGTTTCTTCCCCGCTGCTGGGCAACTATACCAGCGCGAGCGGGGCGTCTGCGCGACCCACGCTGGCGGCGCTGCTCCGGCGGCGGGGGCTGGGCGTGGCGGTGATACTGGGCGTGGTGGCCGCGCTGGGAGTGGTGGCCGCGCTGCCTCCCTCTCCGGGGCAGCCGTGCTGGAGGAGGATGTCCGCACACAGCTGGCTGCCAGCCTGGCGTGCGTAGAAAAGCGCCGTGTGGCCCTGAGCGTCGCGGGCTGCCACGTCCGCTCCGTACTAGAAGACGAAAGAGCAGCGTGACCGCGCGTTCCCGAGGGGCCACACGTGCACTCCACCTCCCCAAGACTACCAGCCCCACCGCCGGGGTCTCCTGGAAATATCCCGCCCGCTCGCCTACCCACAGCAGCAGCTGCGTGATGACAACGTGGGCCAACTCGGCCGCCAGGTGGAGCGGGGAACGGAGCTGCGGGTCCTCCCCGCCAGTGTCCAGCGGCCCGTGTCGCGCATGAGCCAGGAGCAGGAGCACAGCGGCCACGTCCTGGGCCTGCACAGCGGCCCACAGCTGGCGACCCCAGGGCTCCTCCGTCGTGCCCAGTGGCGCCAGGAACAGCAGCTGCTCGTACTTGGCACGAATCCACGACTCCCGTTCCTCCCTGCGAGACAAGGAGCCAACTGAGAGGGCTCTAGGGACCGCGGCCCCCAGCCCATACGCCCCTCTGGGAGCCACAAGTTCCCGTATGTGTACCTCGAAGAGTCCTTCGTGGGCTTGGCGCGGCCCCGAGTGTCGCTCTCCCACACGCGGTTGGCCATGTCGTTGCCGATGGCCGTCAGCACCAGGGTCAGCTCCCGCGGCCAGTCGTCCAAGTCGAGCGAGCGAACGCGGGACAGGTGTGTGCCCAGGTTCCGGTGAATGCCCGAGCACTCGATGCAGATGAGTGCGCCCAGGTTCAGGCTGGCCCACGTTGGGTCTGGGGACGACGTGCAGAGGTCGGCTCCGGGTTGGGCAGCGCGAACGAACGACACCCTCGGATCCATGGGCCCCACACCCCCTAGCCCGCAGGACCATCTCCCAGACACCTTTGCTGCCCTCTTGCACTTACTTGGGGCCCCGCAGTCCACACAGATGGAGTTTCCCTTGGCGTTCCGGATCGCCTGGATGGCCACGGCTTCACTCTGGCTGTCTGACCGCAGCTGCAGAGAGGGCTGGATCAGTACTGGCTGCCCCTCCTCTTCTTGGATACCACTGCCCTCCCCCCAACCCCTCAAACTATTACCTTGACCTTGCTGCTCTCACAGCACTGCAGACTGGCCAGGATCTGACTCTCGATGGCTTGGACCCACGCGTCCCGCTCTTCGAAGCTGGCTGCCTCAAAGTGCCATGTCTGACCAGTGCTGGATACGATCAGGAACTCAAAGTTTTCCTCTGAGTGGGGGGATTGGATGAGTCATGAGGGACAAAGTTCAAGCAGGGGCTGCCTTCCCCAAACCCTTCCTCCCTGAAGTCCATCCCGAGCCCCTGGGAATGGGGCAGTAGGGGGAAAGCAGAGGGTTGGGGAGAGCAGGAAGCCCGAGCACATGCAGGGAGAGGCAGGGGCACCCCCACCCTCTGCACCCCAGCTGAGCGCCCCTCCCAGCTCCCCACTTGTTACCTGCTTTATAAATATTTCTTAAACTACCAAAGGATTTTAGTTTCCACATTTTGCGCTTGGCTGGTTTCCCGAAGCGAAGGAGATAGAGATAGAATGGAGAGCAAAACAGAGAGAGACCAAGAAAGAAGAAAAAGGCAGATGGAGAGATGGAGAAATAGTGACAGAGAGTGCCAGAGACAAAGCAGGACAGACAGATGGGGAGAGAAAGCAGAACTAAAGTCAGTGGCCCGGGGCAGAGTGGAGCAGAAGCCAAGAGCCAGGAGAGTAGGCAGATCTGGAACCCGGGTCTGAGCACCCGGCAGAGAGCAGGGGCATGGGGTTATCACCACCAGAGAGGAGCCCATCTCTGAAGGAGGAGGGAGGGTCTGGATCTGAGTGAACACAGGGGAGGGGACTGGAGTTGGGTGGGAGGTGGGAAGAGGGACATGGGGCTCAGGAGGAGTATCAGGGGCCTGGGCTGGTGACTGTGGAAGAGAAATGGGAATTACCATTGTCGTGGATTGTTGAGGAAACTTGGCAATCACTGAAAATTATTGGGAGAAGGTGGATGTCTCTGGACTGAGTCACTAGGGACAGGGGTGTAGGTACAGGGGTCTTAAGTGGAGATGAGTGCAGGGGCAGGAACCAGAGAGTCATCAGGAGAAGGAGCAGGAGCTACAGAGTTATGGGTGTCATCGAGGACAGGGGCTGAGGAGCAGGGAAGGACCGGGCCTGGGGTGTCCGTCAACTTTTCCACTAACTTGTGTGCAGTGTTAAGGCAAGCCAAGCACTCAGCCAGGCCCTTTCCTCCTGCTGCAGGAGCTAGGCCGGGACCTGATGTCAGTCTGAGGGTCGGGGTGGGAAGGCAAATGCCCACCAGTCTCACCTTCGGCCTGCACAGCAGCACCCTCAGTCTTGGATGGCGTCGTCAGTTTTTTCCTCCTCTGCTTCTTCACCATGGGAGAAGGAGGGGGTTCCCGACTCAGAGGGCTCAGGTCTCCAGATGGGGTACAGTCTTAGGGAAGGGGACATAGCTGCCTCAGATTTCCTGATTTCTCAGTAGCATGTCCCTTCCCCTGAACTAGCATTTTGTCCCTCTCCATGAGGTGCCCTTGGACCCTTCCTGAGGAGATGGGAGGTGGGACAGATGAGTGGTTCCGAACGTACTAGCTTTCAGACCTTGAGCAAGTCACTTAGTCTTCTGAGCCTCAGCTTCTTCATTCCTAAAATAGGGATAACAATCTTTTTTTTTTTTTAAGTTTATTTATTTATTGTGTGTGTGTGTGTGGCCAGCTCAGCCCACCAGGGGGCGCGGCTGGCTGGCATGTGGTGCTGGGGGATCGAACCGTGGTCCCTGTGCTTTGCCAAGCTTGTTCCAAGTAGGTGCTTTAGACCACTGAGCCATCTCGCCAGCCCCAGGGATAACAATCTTGACCTGGTAAGTTTGTTGTGCTTTTACAATGCTACTTGGTATTATGTTTCCAAACATTCCAAACACTGATGACTGACAATATGCTGAACACTGTTCTCCGTTTGTTTAAAACTTGAGGTAATCTTGTGAGGTAGACACTACTGACTCCATTCTACCAATGAGGAAACTGAGGCAAAGAAAGGTCACATAACTTGCCCACGAGGTGAGATGGGACCGCTCAGGCAAAGGCGGCTTGGTTGTAGAGTCCACCTGTCTTAACTACCATGATAGACACAGTGTGTTTGGGCTCAGTGCCGGGCACCCAGCAGACACTCCATGTGTTCCCTCCAGCATGTATTCCAGCTCTAAGCCTCCACTCTGCTTTCACTTCCCACCCACATCCCATTTGTAAGTTCTCTCTCTCTCTCTCTCTCTCCCTCTCTCTCTCTCCCTCCCCCTCCCCCCCTCTCTCCCCCCCCCCGGCCCCCCGGCCCCAGGGAATGAACTTTGCAGGTGCTAGGCAAGGCACCCTGCTCTACCCAGCCTCCAACACCCCACTACTGTATGTAGTAAATAGCCAATGGAGGGCAGTTCCACTGACCAGTGCTGAGGGCTCGGGCCAGATTCCTGTCTGGCTTCAGCAGGTGCTTTGATGTCTGGTCTGGTGGCGGCTGCAGGGAGCTGGGGCTGGGGCTGGGGCTTGGTGTGGGAATAGTGGCTTCTGTCAGAAGAGGAAGAAGATGAAGCCCCATGACCTCTCTGTGCCTGGCCCCTCCTTATACGTGACCTCTTCGGCGCCTGCTTTCCCACTTGCCCAGGCCCAGGCCCACCCGGCTCCTTCTCCCCCTTTGCTTCAGCCTTGGCTCCGCTCTTGCCCCTCTGTCATGCACCCCACTCACCAGGGCCTTCGCCCATCTGGACACTGCTCATGTCCTTCACCAGCCCATTGATGCTGGCTGAAGGGCCAAAGGCTGAGATGGCCCTCGGGGGCCTCTTGCCTGGGACTTTGACTGTTGTTCGTAGCAAGTCCATCTCCTTGCCGTGGGTGCTGTGGATGTAATCCTAAAGAAGTATAGGGATTGAGAGGATGTGGGAGGCTGGGGTCTCTAGGGGTGTTGGGAAGCAGTAAATAGTCTGGAACTGGGGTTCTGCATGATGACTGGGCTGGGATCATCAAGCTCAACCTAGCATGATCTCCAGAAAGCAGCCCGCAATAGCATGCCAGGGCCAGGCCCTTCCTGGGTGCTCTCTCATGACTTAGTTCCTGGGGAGGTGAAATTACCTTCACATCTCCAGCACTGGTAAATGTGGGCTTTTTTTTTTTTTTTTCAGAACCAGGGATTGAACTCTGGCCCTTGTGCTTGCCAGGCAAGCACTTATTCTACTGTGCTCTCTCCCCAGCCACCTAACAGTAGGCTCTTAACATGCTTGCTAAACTTTAAGTGAACAGGACTAGAGCTTCCCCGAGATGACATTCATGCTTGTCAGGGGCACAAGGTAGAGCAGGAAGTGCCTCCAACACTGGACAGAATGGCCCATTTTCTGCTACTCACATTAATGCTGGGGTGGTACAGTAGGAAGCCATTACTGGACAGGGTCACATATTTCTTCTTCCACTCTTTGTTTAAGGAATTGCCACTGCGCTTTAGTAGGAAGCTCTAGAACACAGAAAAAGGTGTGAGAGAAAAGCCAGCTAAAACTAGCTGACCCAGCCTTCCTTGGCCCTGGGAATGCTCACCTGTTTAATAGGGATGGCTCGCCCACTCCCCGTTGTCTCTCCCCGGCTGTCCAAGCTTCGCTTCTCAGAGTCACTACCCCGACGATTCTAGAATGGTTATTGGAATCCATCAAATGCAGGACAGAGAAAAGGACAGGGAAGACAGAGGAAGAAAGGTCCACCAGAGAGATATGTGAACTAGGGAAGAGGACAGGTAACACAGGACAGGAGGGTAGGGATGTTTAATACCGCAAAGAGGCTGGTCCTTCGTTTGGCTGCCCGGTGCAGGGATCCTGGGGTGCTCAATCCAGCCACTGCAGCCGCTTCAGCTCGGAGTTCCCGGTGCCCAACATTGGGGGAGGACGGAAGGGAAGAAGAGTAGTCACTAGTGTGGCCCCCATTACTAGCCTGGGGACAAGGAAGAGCCAGCAGAGTTGAACTACTCCTGTTCCACCAACCTACCCTTCCATCCAGTTATATGGGCAATTGGAGACATTCCCTGATCTCATCATTATTCGCTGACATTATCATGCATAATAAGAATTCTGAGTAGCATTGTTTAGAGTGCTTTCAATTTTGCATAGATTGACTTTACAAGTATTATGCCATACAATTTTTCAGATAACCTTGGGAGGGTGGGTGGCTGGTTCAAAGACTGTGCAAATGGCATCTCAAACCTGGTTGATTTTCTACAAAATGTTCCTGCCATTTCCACCTGTTGCCAGCCCCTCCAACACCTTTTAATATCCTGTACCTGTGTTTGGATTCCCAGCCCCTACTCTTTTGTCCCTGAAACAGCAACTTACCTGCCCAGCTACAGGGGTGGATGCAGCTGAATGGCTTGGAGAGCTGGGCAGGGACTTGCAGGCAGCCAGAAGCTGTTGCTGTTTGCGCAAGGTCACCACCTTCTGGGCCACTGAGGGGAGGGAGAGAGGGAGGAGGATTGAACAGAGCAGATATCCAATGCCCAGCTCTGAAAACCCCCCAGGAGATCGCATAAGCCCCAACTTTCTTATCACTGGTCACCATGCCACCTGTGGGCTTGCCAGTTGCTAGAGTTCAAAAATACCGCCTATTAAGGCAAACCCACTGGGGCCTTCCTGATCTGTCCTTACTCCCACACAGGCTAATGTCTATTGCAGACAGAGGTCTAGATGCTGGGCCTCTAGAGCATTCCAGGCTCATAGCTCCCCAACTCCCACACAGGCTGGTATTACCACACTCACCCTCCTGGAAGACCCGATCCACATTGAGCCCATAAGTTGCACAAGTCTCGTAGTAGCTACAGCGCTTCATGTCTGCACACAGAGCCCTGGCACGAGCATCACCCACCACCCGAGGGGAGGAAGCACTGATCCTGTCTGAGAACAGAAAAGGGCAGGAATGCACGAGGGCCCTTCCCCACTCTACCAGTTCCCTTTCCCTTGTGCTCTAGGAGTTTGTCAGTCTGTAGGGGGAATAAAGTTTATGAGCCACCAAGCTCTGCACACAGCTCACACACCCAGCTTTGTGTAAGGAGCCAGGGTGAGTGTGTGTGTGTGTGTGTGTGTGTGTGTGTGTGTGTGTGTCTGTGTCTGTGTGTTTTCAAGGACTAACTACTCCAGAGATGAGTGGAGCTTCCTGACAAGGTTTGAAATGGCTGAGACTCACAAGTGACACTCTGCCCTGCAACTCAATTGACCCCTGCCCTGAGTGACAGAACACCAGGCATGTATACCAGGAAAGGACTGGATGGTGGTCCATTTACTCTGCAGTGAGAAACAGGCCGCAACTAACAAATGGAGGCTAGCACCTGTAGCACAAGCGTCCACACAGAAAGTCCCAGCAGCTTGACACATGTGGCACTGGAAAGACAAGCTCTTGCTGTTCTGGTGGAGAGTCTCAGAGCTTCTAAGTAACATCTTTGAAAACCAAAAGGTTTTCTACACCCCTGTTTTCTCCCGAATTCCCATTGTTTTCAGATTAAATTCTTTTTAAGAGTATCAGCCTAACCCCATCATATGAAGGGGGAAATGGGAAGATATGCTTCTGTCCATACTACTTAAGATTTTCTGTGTCTTGCAGTTCCATCAGGAAATAGCAGAGTGAGAATACCAGGCAGGTGACATCTCAGGAGAGGAATGGAGACAGCTACTATGACTGTCCTTTCCTCCGTGGTAGTCCCCTTTCCTCTGGTCAGACCTCCTTGGGATCTCTGTGATGGGTTTTATGACTGCCTTACTTGGAGATCTGTTCTCTCTAGAGGGTTAATGAAATCGAAGTAGCCACTTTCACACCTTATGAAGTTCACATTCATGGTGGGCAATGCCCTAGAGGCAGCTAGGGCACCCCAGAAAGAAGTGCTTCCCCAACCCCTCCTTACCTTGTGTCCCCACCAGTGCCAAGGCCAGGCCTCCTCGCCCCTCCCCACGAAGAGAGCTCAGCTGTCCATGGAGTCGGCTCACAGCCTGGAAACTGTTCTCATCCTCCAGGCTGAAGACAAAGATCACTGCATCTGCCCAGCCTGAGAACTTGCGGGGGGTGGGAAGGCAAATGGAGCATCAGACAGGCCTGTTCCTTTGAACATTATGCAGAGGAGAGCTGGGAAACCAGAGCCTCTCCCTAATCCAGCATGAACCCTAGCCAGCCTACCTGCCCCACCCCCTCCACCTCTCACCTTGGCATCAGGGGCTCCAGCTTCCTCTCGGATCAGCACCAGATGAGTCTGCCCATCCACCAACATCTCTTTCTTGTACTGCTCACCTGTTCAGGACAGTTGAGTATAAATAGGTCAGAGGTGACAGGTCATCCAACTGTTCTATGTTCCCTGTACTCTGTTTGTTTGCTTTTTCCAGAACTGGGGATTGAACTCAGGCCCTTGTGCTTGCCAGGCAAGCACTTATTCTACTGAGCCATCTCCCCAGCCTGTTCCCTGTACTCTAACTAGTGTGGCTTCCTCCTGCACCCTAGTCTCCATACCTGCCCAGCCACTGGTCTTACTGGTGCCCCAATCCCAATCCTTAGCTTACTGTAGCTCCTGAGAACTCACTCTCAGTCTTCTCCAGCACCTGGTATGAGCCAGTCAGGAATCGGTGGATAAGCGATGACTTTCCACTCCTGGTGTCACCCAGAACACCCTGAAGGCAAGGTTGAAGAGCAGAGACAAAACTCAGAAGGAGAAAACAGGCTCAGATCTGTGCGTGTCAGAGAACCCAAAGGGACTGGCAGTGTTAATTCACCCAAGCAGATCCTACAGGGCCTGGATGACAGGCAGCCAGGAGAAAGCAACTGCAAAAAAGCATGGTAAGACATGATCCCTAGCTTGAAGCTGACCCCAACGTGAAGAATGTCAGTGGCTCAGGACCAGCTTTTTTTGTTGTTTAAGAAATACATTAGGGGTAGTGTGTGTGTGTGTGTGTGTGTGTGTGTGTGTGTGTGTACATGCAACCCAACTCTAGGCAAGACAACATAAAAGGATAAAGGCCAGAAACAACAATGAGAACCTTGGAAGACAGCACTGAACTAGCAGGGAAAAGAAGCATGACAGAAGAAGGAAAAGTTGTACAGATGCATTGAGCACCACACACTAGTGCAATGAAGGTACTCTCAAGAGAACTGGAAAACTAGAGCTACTCCCACAGAAAAGCAGAGGAGGGGAAAGGAGTGCAGAGAGGGTCTGAGTTACCTACCAGGCGCAGTTCAGGAATGGAGCGACTCAAAGTCCACTCCTGGCTATTGACCACAGCCTCTGTAATGGAAGAGGGGTGGTAAGAGGAGTGTCTCCTGTGCACTAGGATTCTAGGCCCTCAGCCACCCCTCCTTTCTTTGCAGGTCCCTGAACCTCGAGGACTCTTTTACACAGAGGTGTGTGAAACAGATAGGTCTGAGTGGTCCCTGGTCCTCCCATCCCAGCGCTCTTCCCACAGCTGTTGCTGCCGCTCAGTGGTTGCCTAGCAACAGAGCTAGCAAGACAAAAATACTTCAGTTGGCATCTTCCTTAAAGCACATCCCCAAACGTGGGTCCTTGCTCCAGACTGAGAAAGTAGTGTTCTAAGTGGTGGGTTCTTCTCTTTGGAAAGATAAGAGGGTCTCCTCTCTGACCCCAAATTCCCAGCGCTGGTCTTTGAGGAAGTACAAGACAGAAGAAGTGGTTCTTCCTTAACCTCCATTTCACTGTGGAGAAACCAAGGCAAGGGGTTCCCTCCCCTTTTCAAGGTCAAAGGCATGATGGCCCTGACTCCTCTAAACACCCCAAGTGATTTTCCTTAGCCTTCCTCTTCCACAGCCTTCCCACAAGCTCCTCCCAAAGAACTGCGAGGCAGGCCTCGACCCTAGGCCTAGAGAAGTCGGCGGCCTAGGGGAAAGGAGGCTCCTTCCACAGGCCAGTCCGTCCCCCACGCCTGACACTGCCGGACGTTCCCGGGGCGCCGCAGCTGCGGCGGGAACGCTCGGATCCGGAGCCATCTGCTCCCACCGCTCCAGAGCCAAGCCCCGGGGCCGCCCCCGCTTCCAAAACCGCCTCCTCTCCGGGGAGTGTGAGCCGAACTGAGTCCCCGCCTGTCTCCCCCAGTTAAAAAATAGTACTAAAGACACCCCTGGGAAATAAATAAATAAAACGCTGCCTTCCCCCAAACCGCCTCCGAACTCTCCTGGGGTAAGAATTGTCTTTGCAGCAGTTCCGCCCCCTTGACTCACTCGGGGTCAACCCCGCGGGTGTGGACTCCGCTGCCTGGCGGAGGTGGCCGTGGGAGGGGGGCAGCGAGGCTTCCTCTCCGCCTCTTGCTTCGCATTTAAATCTCCAGCACGTTCCAGCCCCCGCACACCCGCGGGCGCCCTGTGCGCCTAGTCGACGTCGCGGGGAGAACACCAAAAGCCAGCTCCCAACCCAGGAGCAGACCCGTCCCTGGCTAGGAGCTGCCTACAAGGTCACTGTCATGCCACCTGCTCAAGGACTTGGGGTAAACTGAGGCTTCTCATACCCCTCTCTTTCAGGGTCCCTCTAGACTTCTCTGAGAGCAATTGCCTTGGTCACGTTGACCAAGGGCATCATTTCCCAGAAAGCTCAGGCTCCGAGTCCCCTCAAAATCAAGCCACCTCGCACACTGCATCGCACAGTGCTCACCCTCTTCAAAACGTCGTATTCTTTGCCTCGGCCCTCGGCAGAGGGACGAGACCGGCTCATCCGCCCACCTGACAGAAAAGTCTTCCCAGTTTTCCGCGCATCGCCTCCCCTCAACCAACTGAGCATTCCAGCCACCCTCCCGTCACCACTGCCAGGCCCTGACCCTACTCACTAGGGGAGGCACGGAGCTCAGCGCCCAGCAGCTCCCTGGACCCGCTGCCAGAAGACAGGCCTGGGGGTCCGGGAGGGGGCCCGGAGCCGGGCGGCCCCCCTGTGCTCTTGGTGAAGATACCGCTGATAAACTTGAGCATCTTGCGGTCACGAGTGGATGCTCGGCCCCCCTCCCGGCCCCGTTTCAGCCCCGGAGCTGGAGGTTCCAGGGTGATTGGAGGTGCAGGACCAGGGGGCTGCGTGGAGGCGGCTGCAGCAACAGCGGCTGGAGTTGGGGTTGCTGGGATGGTTAGCGGAGGAGGAGAACCTGCAGGCGGTCCTGGGTGCAAGTCACTGTTGTCCAAGGTCTTACTCTTGCCTTTCCGAGGGGACAGCTTCCCTCGGGCTCCAGCCCCAGCCCCGACCCCACCAGAGGTCGTGGCTGCAGCGCCCCCTCCCCCGGCGGTGACGGCCACGGTGACAGAAGCTCCAGTTCCAGCGCTGCTCTTCGACCCCTTGACCCTGGGCTTGCCCTCGCTTTCGGGCCATGACAGGCGGCTGCCGGCGCCCTTGCCTACTCCGGCTTTGGTTCCACTCGTGGTCACGGTCTTGCAAGGCTTGGGAGCCGGCGGCGGAGGCGCCACCTTGAGCCTGCGGCTCCCGGTGCCGGGGTGCGGAGAGGACGAGCCGGGGACACCGCCGCCTAGCCGGCCTTCGGGCTCTGGGCCCCCCCAGCTGGGGCTGCTGAGTAGAGGGCGCCGAGAGGAGATGGGGGCGCCCCCAGGCTTGGGGTCCGGGCTCAGCCCCCCGGAGAGCGAGGCTCCGGGAGGGGCGGCCCAGAGGGACAGGCGGCGGCCTGGAGCCGGGGACACGGGGCGGGCTGGGCTGGCCGGAGCTGGGGACAGGGCCGGGGGCTCCGCGCCCCCCGTGCCCGCGCTGCTAGTGCTGATCCACAGCGCATCCTGCCGGTGAAAGAGGCGCTCGTGCCGCTTCTTGCCTGGCTCCTCCGCGCCGCGGGGACTGCCCGGGTCGCCGGGCTCAGTGCCTCTGGCCCCGGGGGCGCCGGCCGCGACTGCAGACGGAGAAGGTGGCGGCGGAGGGACCGACTCGAGCTTGACCAGGGTCAGCGAGATGAGGTAGGTCGTTGTCCGGCGCTGAAGCGCGCCCGCGCCCCGGCTCATGGGGCCCGGAGAGCCCCGAGCTGGGGAGGGGAGGGGACTCCCCCGGACTGCCTCAGGGGGGCCCGGCCATGGAACCGCCCTGCTCGCTGCCCCCAGCCCCCGGACCCCCCTGAGCCTCCGGCCCGGCTCCGCTGTCGCCGCCGCCTCCGCCGCCTTCGCTTGCGCCCCCCTCCCATCACATGGGGCGCCCCCTCCCCATGCTCCCCACCCTGCGCCCCCACCCCCTTGGAGCCCCGGGACCTTGGTGCTGCTCCAGGGAGGCGCGCCGGACCGTGCACCCCGGCCTGGGTGGGGGCGCCGAGATGGGCGGAGGAGGGCGGGGAGGATAGTAGTGGGGGGCAAATGAGGGAGACAGAGGAAGAGAGGCAGAAAAGGGGACCGGAGACCAGGGGAGAAGAACCGGTGCGGGAGAGGCAGGGGTGGGTAACCGGGACTCAAGGGACGGGGGCGCGGATGCGATCGGAGAGGGGGTCCTGAGGAGGGTGGGAAGCTAGCGAGGCTGGCCGTGGGGAGGATTCGCAGGGGCGCTGGGAGGACGCTGGGGATGGAGAGACGGGAGGTGGCGGGGGAGGAAGGAGGGAGCGGGAGGGGGGTGGGGACCCACGAGTCTGGGGTCTAGGAGGGGAGGGGCGTGAGAGCTCGGTGAGAGTCCCGGGGCCTCGCCCCGGCTCGGCTGGGTCCGGATGCGCGCTGTGTCCGGGCGCTCCCCTCACATTGAGGAGGAGGCGGCCCCCGGCCCCCCCACCCCATCTCCCCCCACCTCTCCACCAGCACCGCTGTCTGCGAGGGCGGTACAAAATCCAGGACTGGATTTCCCTCCCAAATCCTGGGCTGGATTTCCTGGGAGTCGGACTCACCTACTCCAACAACCTAGCCCCTTCCTCTCACCAACCAGGTTGGCAATCGACTGTGGGGGCGACGGTAGGGATGTGGTACTTAGGGCTAAAGGTAAAAGTCGACATACTGGATGGACAGTCTCCAGAAACAGTGATCCAGAACTGGGGATCACTACCAATTCTAGGGGAGCTGAACTGGGAAAGTAGGGAGCCCTGAAATCCCTCTCTCAGGACTCCTCTTCCCTCTCCGTACCTGGATACATTCACTTTCTCATCACCCAGCTCCCTCTCCCACCCACAGCGCTACATTTAGTGCTTTGGTGGGGCTCTGACTTGCGCAGACTGTCCCAAAGTGAACTTGGAAAGTGTTCCCCAGGGAAGGGGACAAACAAGGAACTTAGCGGGAGGTGGGGGGTTGCCTGCGCGCTGGGGGTGTGAGGGTTCAGGAGCCTAGCCTGTCGAGTGAGACCAAGGCCCCAGTTTAAAGTGGAGGGAGAAGAACTATATCTACGGATAGACGCCCCCCCATACCAAAATGCATCCAGTCACCATAGCAACCGGAGCTCCGAGAGAACCTCAGAAGCAGTAGGGATAAGCAGAGAGGAGGGATTTGTGTGTACAGTGGGTGGGGGCCCGCCAGGGGACGTTCGGTTACTGAAAGTACCACCTTCACACATGGTTACCTACTTCTGGGCTATTTTGCTCCCCAGTATAAGGACCCCCTCAGTTGAGGCAGCAGCAGCTGGCCTCTCCTGAGATTCAGTTCAGTCTCCTGAGGTTTATGGGGCGGCGCTTTTAGAAGGTTCAAGAGGAGGTAAGCACTGAGCAATGGACATCTTTGCTCTGTGTGGCTGTGTTGCCCACCCCTCTGTGGGGCCTTGGAGTTCAAGGCTCTGTCCTTCAGCCTCACTGAGAAGCCTAGAAGGCACATAGAGAAGAGAGGCTGAGACCGCCATGGGGTGGGGTGGGCTGGGAGGGAGATCTCTTGCAGCTTGGCAGACCCCTGCCCAGGATGTGGAGAGTCCTCACTGTCCCTTGATTTCTCGTCCCACCCTCCTGACGCAACCTAGACTATAATAAGTGCTGCCGTGGGCGGCACTCCGAGGCAAGAGCCCTCAGCTTGCTTGGCCTGGTGGGGGGTGAGGGGGGGCAGCACCAGAATGCTGGGTGCCCGTTGTTCTCCTAAAGGCCTGTGCTTAGTCCCTCTCAGAGGTCCTATCTCAGAGGTCTGAAGCTTTTCCCTGACTTCCTGCAGAACCAGGATGATTCCAGTGAAGGAAACCCTTCAGTACTCTTTTGAAGGAGATTGTGATGAATTGTTGGCTCTGCCTTAATCTTCCTTCCTTTGATGGCTTGTTTTCCTTGATGTTCAATGGGAACAAAATCCCGACTCTTAAGGAAGGAGTAGAACAAATTACTTATGAAGAATAGAGTCTTGGGCTGGGGGTGTAGTTCAATGTGAAACACTTACTTTCCATGTAGGAGGCCCTGGAACCCCTGGGTTCCATCCCCAACACCACAAAAGGAAGAAAAAAAAATCTGGAGTCTTCTCAGACTCTACCCACCTTACTCCCTGCTTTTCCACAGCTCCCTACTGTTCTTCCCCCCATAAAAGGAGAGGTTTAAAAAAAAAAAAAAAAAAAAGATCTCTCTATGTAGTTCAGGCTGGCCTTGAACTCACTGTATAGTCCAGGCTAACTTTAGACTCTAGGTAATCTTTGTCTGTCTGTCTGTCTGTCTGTCTCTGTCTCTGTGTCTCTGTCTCTCTCTGTGTCTCTGTCTCTGTCTCTGTCTCTGTCTCTCTCTCTCTCTCTCTCTCTCTCTCTCTCTCTCTCTCTCTCTCTGAGTTGGGGCTTAGAGTTTTTCCCTGGAACAACCCCCCCAGCCTGCCTTTCTAACTAAGGCTGTTAAGGAAGATGGCAGATGTAGGAGAGGAGCTGACAATGCTCAGCAGGGCAATGAAAAGAGAGGGACATGAGAAAGGGATTGTACTGTCCTATTAGGAACCCAAACCAATTCCTTCCCCCAAGTTATGCTTTAGAGGCCTCTCCCATTAGGGAGGCCCTCCTCCCACCCTCACCCCCCTTTGCCTTTAAAGCAGCTAAGAATGGAGAAAACTGAAGTGATTGGAAGAGATCAGGATCCATTCAATGGAGAGGGTGCTTCTATCAGACACCCCTCGAAAGCACAGAGCCCTGCTTTTATGAGTCATTTGATACCTCAGAAGTAAATGAAATGAGAGCAAGCTAGGAATGACATCCAGTTCCTTAGTGGCAGGCCTTGTGGATGCAGAGAAGCTATTCTTGCCAGGGGCCCACCACAGGACTGAAGACCGGGGTGGGCAGGAGGATGTGGCGGATGGTGTTGCCATGGCAGCACTTCCTCCCTGTGTTGTCATCACTTGCTCTAATGGCACTAAGGAGGTAGAGCGGAAGGTGTGTGTGGGGGGAGACAGGAACAGGAACATGGGGAGGAGAGAGGACCAAGGAGAGTTCTGTGAACCTCTCTGTACTTGGGCTAAGTAGAGCATGATGTTTATAAGTTAGTGTGTGCCTAGGAGTCAGAGTCTCTGCGTGGTCTCTCTGTCTCTGTCTCTCTGCCTCTCTCCTCTCTTCTCTGTCTCTCTCTCTCTCTCTCTCTCTCTCTCTCTCTCTCTCTCTCTCTCTCTCTCTCTCTGTTTCTTTCTATATCTAGAGAACAAGAGGTCACTGATCCTTAGTGGGGCCTGGGAATGAACACATTATCCAGTCCCAGAACCTCCTGCCCCAGACTGCTTCCTGTTCTGGACTCTCTACTGAGGACCACGTTAACTGTGGCTCTGTCACAGCCCGTCTTCCTCATGCTTACCCACTTCACTGCCAAGAAGGTCACCTAAACAGTGACCTGTATTTTGTTTCCCTGGGAGAAAAATCAGAGTTGGGGGAAAAAAATGATAGCTCTCATGTCATTTTCCGTCCTCCCCAGATGTATTCTTTCTCAGAGTCCCAGCTCCATCTTGAGGACTAGGAAGTCTCTGCCTAAGAAATGACATATGACACAGCTCACCCATATATGGCCCTGCTGGTCCATAGTACATCCAAGTTGGGCACTGATCATTCTCTTACCTCGTATGGTACCCAGTGAGGCCTCGATGCTGTCCCGAAGATCGGGGTCACTCACTCTTTCTGCCAGCTTCCTCAGGTGGTTTAGAGCCTTCTTGGTCACCTCATGCCTTCGGATTTCTGCTCTCACCGCAGCTACAGCTAACTGCCTCTGGGCGTGCATGTTGCCCAGACCTGTCTTGCCAGACTAACAGCAACCTCTGGCCTTGAAGCCCATGGCCCCACAGATCCAAACCCCAGAAGGCCCCTCTACTGTTCCCAGAACTCTGGTCTCCAGAACTCTCCGTCGCCACTGCCGCAGTAGCAGCCCGCCCTTCCGTCTGTCAGCCTCACTTCCTGACTGGTGAGTTTCAAACCCACAGCCTGGGACAGAGCTACCTTCTGTACCTCCCGCCCCCTCTAGTGTTGGCCTATCTGACCTGTCAGCCAGGTCCTGTTACGATTCCCCAGCCAGGTGGAGGGAGAGACCATAACAAGGTCCCAGGGCCTCCTGTGGGAGGTGGCTAATTAAAATGGGTGTTGGTTCTGGGAGAATGTGTCCAGCCAGGTCTCACATACCATCCCAAACTCTTGGGAGATCTGCAAATTTGAATTGTTTCAAACACACAAGAATCCACGCACATCTGCTGCCTCACAGCCCTGACTTGTAGTGTATAGCTGTACTTGCCACTCTATTATTTGTGTGTGTGTGTGTGTGTGTGTGTGTGTGTGTGTGTGTGTGTGTGTGGCCAGCTCAGCCCACCAGGGGGCAGGGCTGGCTGGCATGTGGTGCTGGGGGATCGAACCGTGGTCTCTGTGCTTTGCCGAGCTTGTTCCAAGTAGGTGCTTTGACCACTGAGCCATCTCACCAGCCCTGTACTTGCCACTCTATACATGCCACTGAGCCCTGTGTACTAATGTCCTAGATTGTCACCCTTCCTCAGTTATCTACTGCAGCCACCTCCTGTTTAAAAGGCCCCATTACTTATGGGGACGAGTTATAGAGAAGTAAAATAACCTATAACCAGATAAAACTACTATGCTCTGTGTTCACTGCTTTTATAATAATTAGCATGTATATAACATGTAGTAGTTTACAATATACTTCCATATATATTACCCTGGTGACAGGCCCAAGGGGTAGAATTATTTATCCCCATTATGAAGAAAAGGCAACTGAGGCACAGAGAGGCCAATAACTGGTAAAACAAAGATACAGATCTAGGACTCCTGCAACATCTTTAAAATTTTTATTTAGCTTTTGCTTGTTTGAGACAGGGTCCCACTATGTAGTTCAGGCTGGCCTTGAGCTCACTATATACCCAATTACAATTTTAATACCTTTTTCAGCAAACACAATCAAGGTGCTTGCCACTCAGTTCTCTTCCTTAATACCATTGTCTTGTTCTTAATTTAGGACCTGAAAGCAAAGAATGTAGATGATGATGGAGAAAATGAACATTGAGGGGTAGAATTGTGGCGAGGTGGGGGGGATAATTGTAGTTTGACTTAATTTATTTCAAGTTTCTCTTCTCTTGGCTGTCTTGATAGTAATTTATGAAGAACAAGAGAATACAAATATGTGAATATTTGTGAGTTTGGAGATGAGACTAGGATTAGACACAAACCTATAAAATGGCCTAAACAGTAGTAATATTGAGTATTCCTATGAGTCAGGCACTGCTTTAAGTATTGTATATATGCTTGCTTATTTGTTTACTTATTTATTTATTTTTGTGGTCCCGGGATTGAACTCAGGACCCTGTACTTGCAAGGCAAGCGCTTATTCTACTGAGCTATCTCCCCGGGCCCTGTTTGTTTATTTAGACAAGGTCTTGCTATGTAGTTCAGGATAGCCTTGAACTCACTATGTAGCCCAGGCTGGCCTCGAACTTGTGCCAATCCTCCTGCCTCAGCTTCCCCAGTGCTGGATTACAGGCATGTTACCTGGGTCATGCTCATTCACTTATTTCCATAACAAGCCAGAAGTTGTGAGGGGTGTGTTGATAGAGGTAAGTGTACTACTTATCCTCATTTTACGATGAAATAGACACAGGGAGTTTGCAGTCAGTAGGTGACAAAGCTGGAAACTCTGTAATCTGTTTCTAGCCGTAAGACTACACTGCTTAGGCAGCCATAGGATATACATACACACAACTGAATCATTCTATAAGGTTGGCGAAGGTTTTTGTTGTTGTTCCCACTAAGACTGTTTCCTAGGAGAGGGATTATCCCTTTGCCCATCCCTTGAAAACGGTAGACTGTGAAAGCACTTGTGCAATAGTGAACTGTTGCAGTGTTGAGCAACCACCATGCCCACCTCCGGAGTGAAAATGTGGAGACGTCTCCTTCTTCTTGTATTTAGCCTGCTCCAGTTAGGTCAGTATTTGCAAGCCAGGGGACAAGCACGTGTTCTGAAGGTGTTGTGCACTCCTGTGTGGAGCCCAGAACTATGTAGCTCAGTCTGGCCTCGAACTTGTGTCAGTTATACAGGGGCTTTGTCATTAAACACTGTGACTGCTGGAGGCTGCTTCAGAATTCCGCACTGAATTTCTGGCTTAAAGGGATGTGGTACAGAACATGTGTGCTAGTGGACATACAAACATGAAGCTTTAGGTGTTGCTATGCACAACTCCGAGCGTCTGTGGTTAGGCTAGAGCTCAAAATTGGGTTCTGTTGGATATTCCCGAGTGTGATACAATAACAACCAAGGGATGGCGTCATCATTATCATGAGGTCACTGCGGGACGAGGGAAAGAGGCGGGGACAAGCGCTCCTCGGTGTGGAGCCCTTTCTGTCCAGCTCTAGAAGCCCCTCTTTCATGGCCTGAATTCAGGGACTCCATCCCCAGCCTTTACTCTTTGGGAGGGGGCGTGGGTGGGCTCACTAAGCTGCCCTGACAGGACTTGAACTTGTGAGCCTCTAGCGTTAACCTCCCAAGTGCTAGGATTCAGCGTGCGCCGCCGCGCTGGACTGCTCCACCTGAATTTCTCCATAGCCTCCTCGGATCTGCACCCTGTCAACTCCGACCACATAAAGCACGATTTTCAATCCGGGTTTCTAAACTTTAGTCTCTGGGCGGCCTGAGAACGTCTAGAAACCCTACCCCCAGGTTTATATTTCATCCAATGAAGCAAGCAAGGGGGGGGGACTGAGAGGCGGGCTGATGACGTAATTCAGATTGACTGGCACTTAAGCCATTGTCGTCCTGGATTAGCCTTGAGTTTCGCCAATCCATTAGCAGGGGTGGGTCGGTGCAGCCGCAGAGACTTGATTTGGGTGGCCTCGATTTAAAGAGACAGAAGCTGTGGAGGTTTTAGGAGACTGTCCCCAATACCCTACCCCCAAGTCCTTGGGACCACTTGGGTCCTCAGAGCTGGGGAGATGGTTTGTGGTGGCTTTGCCTGCTCCAAGAATGCTCTGTGCGCTCTCAACGTGGTCTATATGGTGAGGTTTTGGGGGTGGGGGAAGCTCCAGGGTGGAAAGGCTGTGGGGAGAATCTCCAGGGACTTCCGGCAGGGAGAGGGGTGTACTGGGGGGGGGTTCCAGGAAGATTCCCAGGCACTTCCGGTGGAGGGGATTCCTGGGGACTTCCGTGGAAGAGGTGAGACTTCCGGTGGTGAAGGGGCTTGTTTGGGGATGGGGGTTGTAGGCATAAGGTCTCGTCTCATTTCTGTGAACTACTTTCTTACCCAAGTAGAAGCGATGGACAACGCTGAGGGTTCCGATTGTCTGTTTTTTGAGACTGTTGAACCTGCTCCCACCCATTCCAGCCTTTCCGACCTCCTTTGAGAAGACAGTCAAACGATATTCTTACTTCCATTCGCTACCCCCATTTACATCCAGCTTGATTGTCCTGTTTGCCCAAGTTCCTTTGTGTCAGCCTCTGATGGTATTGCATGCTAGCGTTCTTTTGAGATGTATCCTGTTTGTTTCCTGTAGCTGGTGGGCTTGTTGCTCATTGGAGTGGCTGCTTGGGGCAAGGGCCTGGGCATAGTGTCCAGCATCCACATCATTGGAGGAGTCATTGCTGTAGGAGTTTTCCTTCTCCTCATCGCAGTGGCAGGACTGGTGGGTGCTGTCAACCATCACCAAGTCCTGCTCTTCTTTGTATCCTGACCCAAAGTGACAGGGTACTGGGTTTCTTGGGAGGGCTGAGTTGACCACGAAGATAGGGTGAAGGACTTAAAGGATCCTGGGGACACATCTCACTGCCCTGCCCTACATCATGGTCCACAAACAAGGCTTATGATTCTGTTTTCACCTTGGCATGGTTGTGTAACTCCTATGAAAGCCATTATTTTAAGTTCATTTTATTTTGGTGTCAAGAATCAAACTCAAGACCTTGCACTTGCCAGGCAGGTGCTTGTGTTGCTGAGCTATATCCTTAGCCCCAAGCCCGTTATTTTAAGTGGAGCATAAAAGAATCTAGGTATTTTTTCCGTAACGCTTCTGCTCAGTACATGATCATCCTTGGTCTGGTCTTCATCTTCCAGTTTGGAATCTCTTGCTCCTGTCTGGCTATTAACCGCAGCAAACAGGTAAGGGTTATCATTTTAAAATACTTGACAGTTGTCAACCCTACCCCTGCCTAGTTCCCTGTCTGAACTACCAGGTTATCCCTAACCCTATTCCAGACTTGAGGTATTTGCTTCAGGAATATATGGGTAAATTCATGATCTAGAGCGAGAAGCTGAGAAAGTTTTTAATTGCAATGCACTGTGTTTGTGAGACTAACTCTGCTTTAATAGACACACCTGAACTGAGATAGGGATGTAGGGAGATTAACTTTCCTTTCTTTGCCCGTGTCTTATAGACAGATATCATCAATACTTCTTGGGGGGTCATGAGTAACAAGACCCGGCATGAACTGGAAAGAAGTTTTGACTGTTGTGGCTTGTTCAACCTCACAACCCAGTATCAAGATGATGTTTCCTGCAACGCAGTGAGTTGGGATTGGGGTGGGGGGACCAAAGCGGAGAGTATGGTAGAAAACAAGAACAGTGCCCAAATTGAAAGGTTAAATTTGAATGACATCACCTCTGTGGCAGCTGTCTTGTGCTGATGTTGATGAAAGCAAGAATACAGACACTAGGGATTTGGCCAAGTGAGATTTTAGTCTGTAGGATACTAGTAAATAATTTTAAGGGTCGTTCACCATAATTATCTGCATAGGACAACTCAACAATTTTGCATTTTTTATACTTTTCATTTCCAGCTGTGTAAGAACAGGAGTTCCACATGCCAGATGTGTGGAGAAAAGTTTCTTAAGCATTCAGATGAAGCCCTAAAAATCTCAGGGGGTGTTGGACTCTTCTTTAGCTTTACAGAGGTAACTTTCTGCAGTTCCCTCAAGTACCCTTTGTCAACCCTCACTCCCAGTTTCCAAATTGATTTGCACTGTGTCTCTCCCTTTGTTCCTATAGATCCTTGGTGTTTGGCTAGCAATGAGATTTCGGAATCAGAAGGATCCTCGAGCTAACCCCAGTGCCTTTCTATGAGACTCTCCGTCATTTTGACTTCTTTTCCGCTCTCAGCTTTCCCTTAAGAACACCTGGAGTCTGTATCCTTTGAAAAAAAGGAAAGGGCCTCTGCCACATCCTCTGAAACGGACTAGGCCTTGACATACTTTGATGGAAGATTATAGGGAATAGAAGCAAAATTTTTATTTTTCTCCCATGTGGACCCGGGCAGCTCCTGAAGTCATTTATAGCTGTTTTCCCTCTTTCTTCTTCTACATGCTGGACCACCTCAGCACACCTGGCCTGGCTCCAAGGATCCACCAGGAACAGAGCCCAGAAAACTCCCCCAGAACTCTTAAATGTGTGGGGCCCAGTTGGAGGAAGTGAACATAAAAATAAATCCCATTTTAGCTCCATAATCAAAGAAGCACCTTAAATTCCTTTTTCTTTGCCAGTCACTTGACTGCCTAGGCCCTGTGTAACTTAGGGAAGGTCTTTAAGGTTCTGCAGAGAAGTTCCTCCTCCTAAGTGGCTTCTCCAGTCTCCCAATGGCAAAGCCAATCTGAGAAACATTAAAAAAAGAAAAGAACACCACATTTTTTGTCTTATTTTGTTTCCCTGTATAAAAAAAGATCAGTATCAAGGTAAGGTGGGGGGAGAGATACCCCTTAGTGTAGAGAAATGGGGCACAAGGATAAGCCTCAAAAGGAGGGTAGTTAGGGAATGTCATTAAGGCAACAAAATATTCTCTGTAAAAAACTGCAGGAGCACCACAGCCTCCGAGACAATGGCAGAGGTCTCCTTCCCAGTGGGGATTCTCTCAAGTGTCCGGAAGGGAAATGGCAGCTTCTTTCTTCTGTGGCAGCTGCTCCACTGCTTACTCTGGGTCACCTTCTTCCTTATGTAGGTAAGAGTGCTGCAGGGCTCGGAAGGCAGAGATTCGCTTGTGTGGGTTAAATGTCAGCATTTCCTAAGAGGAGAAGCAAAGGTCAGAAAACCATGGGGAAAAAGACCTGCTGCCCACATTCTACCATACCTGGGAAGGGCTATTTTCTACATCACCATTTGTCCGTAGTCCTTCATGGTAGCAATAAAAACTGCATCCCATCCACCAAACAGGTCTTGTGAACCAATGGTCTGGGCCCTTACGTGGGACTTACTCCATTTCCCACCTCATCCCCCAGGCCATGCCCAGGCCTAGTACCAGCAGCAGTTGTGCTCCAGATTCCTCCATCTCAGGTACCACTGACTGCACAGGGCGAGGCCCTCTGGGTGAAAAGGCTCCTCGTGGTAAAGATACATCTCGAGGCCAGTCATCCTCTGGAGGCAGCCCAATCAAGCTGTGATAGAGACAGAAGAACTCTGGTCAGCTGGGTCTTCCATCTCCCACCCCCAGGGTTAGACTCAGCAGAAACGGGACTTAGAATGGAAGACCTTTCCTCCATCTTGGGCACTTACTCAAAAATTTTGCCCAACTGATCAGCTTCAGAGTTTCCACAGAAAAGAGGTCTAAAGAGAGAAAAGATACAGGTAGCAAATTATTTTCCAAAATAATAGTGAAACAACTATTGTTAAATAGAATATGGAGAATAAAGAGACATGATGTTTGTAATTTCACAACACATCAGAGTTTCTGACTATGGGCAATGTAGTGGGTCATACTCAAATAGAAAAAAAACATGATATGGATGTAGTGTATGAACAGATTTGAGGAACTCAAGATGGTTTAAGGTTTGGGATCGCATACTTTCGACGAAACATCTCTGCAAAGATACAGCCAACACTCCACATGTCCACTGGTGTTGCATACGTAGACTGCAGAAGAACTTCGGGAGCCCGGTACCAGAGTGTAACCACCTAAAGGGGATATTAAGGGTAGATGAGCGCGATCCTAACTACTATGAATCACAACTACTTAACTGAGGATGTAGCAGGACTTCTCTACTATGGGCAACCAATTTCTTGCCCCCAGCCAGAACCCATGTGGCTACCATCTTTTCACTAACCACTGGTGTAAGGGCCATCTGGTAGCTGTAGATTCTTGCTAGACCAAAGTCGGCCAACTTGACTGTTCCACCACTGGTCACCAGAATGTTCTCTGGCTTCAGGTCTCGGTGAACGATGCAGTTGGCATGAAGGAAATCTAGGCCCCTCAGAAACTGACGCATTAGATCCTGGTTTGGAAGGAGGAGGTACAGACTTACTAGAAGCCAGGCACTATGCCAGAAATCCCAAGTTATACTACAAAGATCCCATTCAACTTCTGGCAACACACCCCACTTACCTTGATGGTTTCAACTGGCAAGCCTGGTGGCGGGGCCTTGTCCAGATATGTCCTTAGGTCTTGGTCTACGTGCTCAAATACTAGGGTCACCTTGATCTCTCGGTCGGTTCGGGAAGTAGCACAGACATCCATCAGCCTGGTCAGAATTAGCGTTCACTCACTGTCAATCCCCTTGGATCCAATGAAGTCTCTCACATTCATTTCCTAGGGCAGAGTCCCCTCTTCTATCCTGACCACACAACCTACTTACAGGTTACCTTTTCCCCTGTACCCCATTGCCAACCCTTCAACTTCTCACCGGACAACATTGGGATGCTCGAACGCCTCCAGCCGCCTTAGTAAGGCCACCTCACGTACTGTGCTGATGGGCAGGCCTCCTCCAGCTCCTCCTCCATTGGGGACTCTCACACTCTTGAGGGCTACGAAGTGGCCACTGTGAGGATCACGGGCCTTGTACACGGTCCCATAAGCACCGACACCAATCTCAGCCACTGGTTCATATCGAGAGGTAGCCATTCTCAGATCAGGGGAGACCCTGCAATCAGAAGCCTATGAGCCTGCAGCAACAGAGTGACTCTCACAGGAAACGGCGGGGCCACCATCACGACCTCCTCATTCCCTTCCCAACTTTTAAGGAGCTCCCATCACCCCACCGTGTAACACATTAAGTTCTAACAGAAAAAGTGTTTTTTTTTCCTTAGGGACCATTGTACCTCACACAAAAGAGATCACACATCAAACAAGACCTGCATCGAAGTTTCTACACCCCAGCCTCTTAAAATTACACCACCCACGACTACAAAGGCCCCTTTTCCCGCCCTTGGGCGACCCTTCCATAGGCGCACGCGTGGGAAGCCGTGGGGGCGGGGACCGGTCACCATTCCAGGGAAGGGGCTGTACTTACCTCAAGCCAGGCTAAGAGCTGAGGGGGCAGCCCGTTATCGGGGCCTCGAAGCCGCT